AATCTGTATGCAGCAACCAGCAGAGCACTGATCTCTGCTGAAGCCTCTAGAACTTTGCTACAAAGCAGACAACAACAAAACACAAATGCTTCAGGTGCCTCATCTTTGATAGTACAAATAGAATGGCAAAATCAGAACAAGAAATTATGAACTTAGGCAATTTTCATTTGTATAAATATGGAGACACATGTATCAGTATATATTTATACACACATGTACATATGGGTTTCCAGTATTGCTTCCTTTTAAAAGTGTTTAAAACCCACTAAGATTTAACAAAACTTAACATTGAAATTGGAAGAAGCCTCATGTAGGAGGCTATAAAACTAAAAGAACCAAGACTTCATGAGACAGGGGACATCCTCACTTGTGAACAGTATTAAAACATTGAATTTATTCAGGAATACAGAATACATTTTTTAAGAGTTCCAGTTTTGTACAAAAGTTTAAGACAAGATTGGGTTTCAACATACAACCTCCCTTAAAGCTGTTATGTAACATCTCCATTTCAAGTTGATAAAACCTCTCAAATCAGAAAAAAAAAAAAGGACAAATGAAGGCCACAGTCCTGTACTGGGATACATTCAGGCAGAATCCAGCACAGTAGTGAAATTCTTTCTGCAGTCATATATTTTAGTTCACAGGTGCAATATAGTCTTGTGTTAATAAAAAGTATTTCAGATCTAGTATGAACTGCAAGAGCACTTGTCTCACCATTTTAGTTCCAGGCATTATATGCAAAGTAGTTTCCAATGAACAACATTAAAAACAGTACTTCCCATCTGATCACCACATTAAAAATACAGCAATAAATTCTTCCTTCACTTATACAATTTTAAATATTCATTAAAATTTAAATTCAGAATCAGTGTCCCTCTATCCTTTTCATCATTAATAGTTTTTCTTATCTACTAAAACCATTTGTCTTTTCTAAGATGTCTCAAACCTAAAGCGCACAAGATTAACAAGCTGCAGCATTAATTAAACTGAGTCTCATCATCTCTTTCCTCCACCCAACTTCTAAATCTATCACAAGGGCCCTATTAGCTGTATCAAAGTGAAGTGGTGTAAATAAAACTGATTTGACTTAAAAGGAGAGGAAGAATGAATGCGGTTATTTAAAAATTGCAATGCAGTCAGTGTTGTCATGTATGTCACTGTAGACAAGAGCTGAGAATTATTCACAGGCTCTCTTTTAAAAGCATTACTGCCAGTTTTCCATTAGCACAATACCAGAGAGGTAAATTGTAATTTGCCTTACAAGGAACTTCAGATTATTATCAAACAGATTCACTAATGGCCTAATTCTAAATAGACAGCACTCTGACTTCAGCAGAACACTCTGACTTCAGCAGAGCTTACAAACACTCAAAACTCCTGAAATTTATTTGTTTATTTTTAAATAACCCAAATCTTATTTCCCACAGGCATTCATTCCTACATTCCTTCATTTACTCAAGTAGTCATTTCTTCAAATTGTTTTGTTGGAAACAAACATATTAATATTTGTGCTGAGGAGAACTACTCACAGTGGTCACCATTCAATACAGATGTGGAATCAGGATTTGACTCTGCAAGAAAACTTTAATCAGTTTTACTTTTGTAAGAATAGGGCTTTGAAATAACATCCATTTGCTTAAGTATTAAGTATGAAGGAAAGCTCCTGGAGAACTAACCTCAAAATAAAAGCTTAAGAGCTATTGCAAACAATAGAATGATCAATTCCAATTTTACTGGCTATTGTAAAGAACTCCTACCACATTGTGTTTCATGAACAGTCTTACAAGCTGCAGGAGTTTCAATGAAATATTTAATTTCATCAGCATGGTTATTGCTACCATGCTTTCTCAAAGATTCCACTGAATAATGCAATATAATGCTGTAGTAACACTACTAAAAGTGACACATTATAAACAGTTTCTGTGTGATGCTACAGCAATTTCCAAAGAAACCAGCTATCAAATCTGTTCTACAAACCAGAAAATTGGAATAAGATGAACCCCCCCCTTAATGTTTTAGCATGCCTTTTTGGAACAAGATACTGAACTTCTGTACTCTTCAAAGTTCAGTGGTCCCCGTAAGTAACTACAAATAGGAAGACAAGACTTGTTTGTCTTTTGGGATCTCTAGACAATGATATGTAACAACACCCAGCAATGTAGTTAACAGCCTCCCAAATCAACATTCAATCAGAAAGGCACAATCTCCCTTTGTAACTTATGTTCTCAAAAACTAAAAGATTCCTATACAAAGATAAATACACCCTTAGCTGGAAGGGAAAACATCACACCATTTAGAATGTTTTTTCCCCTCTTTTTTTTGTAAAGTCCAAATGGATTATCTTAATGCAAAGGTTACATGAATACATACAACCTGAAAGAGTATCTTTTTTTTTATATATATATATATATATGTACATATATGACAGTGACTGACAGAAGGCAGAAGAAGCAGGCTATGCCCACTCTCTTCCTACTTCTTAGGAATCCAAGGCATTTTTCAGATGACGTAGGCAAACAATATTTGGTTTACACACCCTGGTGTCTTAGAATACATGTGTTGAAATGTAGTCCCCCTTGCATAAGGGATATGTGCAATGTAAGTTACACTGGACGCAATAATTTACTTTCACTAATACAGCCTTAGGCAACTTTAAAATTAAAAAAATGTCTAATTCTAATGAAACTACTGCAAACTCTTCAACGATATGCTTTAAAGTCCAATCTAATGTTTTAAAAACCACAACAGAAAAACGTTAAGGCTAATTGTGATACAGCATTACACAGCTCTCTTACAGAGGCCGATGAGAACCTTAACAAAAGGCAAGAGGGACAATAGGGCCCAGTGCTCAAAGAAGACATCCCTGCACCCATCTTTACTATTAATTCAGCTATATATCTGAGTTTAACCTACCTGTAAGATAAAGAATAACTGTCTGCTATGTGACAACGACAACGTTTGCCTATCAAGTCGGACGGAGTCACTAATTAGACAAGTCCTGTTTTGTGAAGGACAGCATAATTACATTGCTTGAGCTCCCAGCAAAGATGAAATCTGACCCAATCTTGTACATTGCTTTACAAGGACCTAGGATCATTTTCACCAACGCACTTCAAGACAGGCTGCCTAAGCCTGTAGTGAAAGGATGCCATTACTCTGCTTCCAAAGTTGGCCAGGCCCATTGGCATTAGAATTCTCCAGTCCTCTCCACTGTGTCATCTCAGTCTGGGAATGACCCATGCCTGTAAATCCACCTGGCCCCTGCCTCTTACATACCATGGTAGTCGACTCCAGAGCTGTAAATGAAAAAAAAAACCAAAACCAAAAACCTACAAAAATTCAGGTATATGTGTGGGAACTGAGATTGAACTCAAGTCATTCCCCTATCTACATTCAAGCTCAAAAATTCTTAGGTTCTGAGCATATAAGCTTTGGACAAAAGTTACCAGGAGGAAGAAAGCAGAAGGTGTGGGCAGTTAGCTTCCTTCATTTCCATTAAACAGCAAAGTCTGTTTAATGACACTGTTCATTACATGGAAGAAGGAGTGGGAAACGTGTCTGATAGACAAATATAAATAATTTTTCAACGCAAATTTCCCTCTGGACAAGAGGAAGACACTGCATTGTTTTCGTTGTATACTGAGCACAAGCACAGCACTGCAGTGGCATTTAAATTCACAGCTTACCTTACCTCTTGCCACTCTGAATACCTTGACCTCTGAGATGCTTTCACACAGGTGATTCAACACTGTGCACCGAAACATACTTCATAGGAGACCATTCCAAGAGTTCGGACACAACAGACACAAATAATTCTGTTTTTCTGCAGAAAATAACGCCATAATGGGGAAGTCCATAAAAACCAATGAGAATGTCTTAAGTGAAACTTGGATATTTTAGAGTTCTTCTGGTGCAGTACAACTAAACCTATGCAATACACTACTTACATACATACACACAGTATTAAACATGTATTCATGCATGTACATATACACACTGTAGACAGGGCTGACAAGGCCAACACCTCTCACTATATGACCTGCTTTCAGTTATTTTACAAATAAAACAATCTTTCTCTGGTAGGTGTTTGCCTCAGGTTAGTTTTGGTGTTCAAGATTTAGCTGAAACTGTTTGGTTTTATTTTGGTTGGGGCTTTTTCATTTTATTGTTTGGTTGTGTTTTTTTTTTTTTTTAAAGAAGGAACACATGGAGTAACGTTGTTTTGCCATGCTTGAAAAGAAGTCTTGTGCTGATTTGTTGAGAAGCTTCAGTGCCTCCGTACTCAGCCTTGAAGTTTGACAGATGTTTGTGATGTTCTTGAGAAACCTCATGCAAATTAGGCCTAGATATTAGCATCTGGGAAAAAACCCTTGTTTGCTCAGTTAGAGAGTTGTTGCATCTTCACCAGCTTAAACTTTGAAAATTGCATTCACAGGGAGAATGTTCCAGTCCATGAAGAGAAGGGTCAAGTAGGACATTTTCTGCAATTTGAGAACTACCAGTGGGCTAGCATTGGGCACCAGACCTCCAAGCAGAAAGACTGCCTCTCATGTGCTTCAATGACCACCAGTTGGTACCAGGCAGTAAAGAAGAAACAGCTCACAAGTCAACAGGATGGCAGGCAGTCTGAAAACAAGAGTCCTTCTGGCATAGTTTTTGTGTGCAACATCTGTATATATTACACATGCACATATATACATTCATATACAGTAAATAGTCCAAGAAATACATCACATCAGTTCTTTGACACAGCACTGATGTTTCTCTTACTAGTCTGAACCAGAACTTGCTTGCAGAAATATTGTGGAGAGCTGATATGACTCTCATAGCTCTGTCTCTGATGAGCCCAAAATGCTGAATTCAAATATCAACTTAGTGTGAATTCAAATCAAGTCATCATTCAGGCACATGTAACCCTGTAACCTATTAGCCACAGCAGATTAACCCATACAGACTTGAAAAAGTAAATGCCTTCCTGCCCATCCCAAATACTGGAGCAGTCACACTTCTCTTTCAGCAATGTGGTTAACCAGAGAATTGCTTTGATCTGCTGTCCTCTCGAGAAGAGTTCTGTGGCCATCCATGCTGTCATGGATGTCTCTTGTCCAACTGTCGTCTGTGCCCAGAGGGCTTCCTACCATGGGGGTGTCTGTGCTTACCAGGCTTCCCGTCCGAGATCGGTAAGGAGGAAGATCTGGCTGATTAGGGGATTCAGATTCAGAACAGTAAGGCGGTGGAGGAAGGTCAAACCAAGGTGGTCTGCTGTAAAGTACACAACATAGTAAGAGGTTACTGAAAATGGTGGTAGGGAAGAAAGTACATAGTTTTCCAATTATGAAAAAAACAAACAGTATTTCTTAGCTTTTCCATGATGACACCTATCGGGAGATCTCAAACAGATCTGCCTACATTATTCAGGTCATTCCAAAACATCCACACCACTGGCTTATGGTCAAGATGCAACATAGCTAATTGCATCCTGCTTAACACTCCACACTGATTTTCATGGGTATGCACTTCCAACAAATCTTGGCTAACCCTCAAACACAGCTGCAAGAGGTAAGACTTTTTCTTGTATAACATTTACACAACCTGAGAAAGCGCTTTAAAAGAAATAAGGTAAGTAGTGGATTAACACCTATACATAATGATGTGAACACAAGAAAGCTCTGAGGAAACCTCCATTACGTGACAGAGATTAGAGTCTTATGGTCTACAAATAAATACCGAACTGAATTCTCCACATGACAAATAACTTTTGCTGTCATGATATCACTTGCAGAGCAACTGCTAAGTAGGTATAGACAAGATGAGCACTGGACTCAGGAAAACTGTTTTTTGGTTCTAATGGTAAACAAGTAAAGGAACTGAAGGGTTTAGCAGATTGATAACAGGTCCTGGGAGCAATTAGCTCTGAAATTGCTGATATTTTGTATCAGCCCAGGTGAGAAATGATTACAAGCTGGACAGCTGCTCATTTAGTTGTCCTTAATAATGAAAAGATATCATTATTATGAATGTCAACATTAAGACAACGGAGCTGCTGCCAAATGTAGCAGAGAATAGGAATGTAAATGATCATACTATCATTCTTAGATCCCAGAGTTCCTACTGAAAAATACCAACAGGGTGACAGTGAACAATCTGTATCATTGAAGTTTATACCATGCCCTTTTTATGTACAGAGGATGTCAGTCTAGGAGTTTTGTTTGGAAAGACCTTACAGACAGAGGTTAAAATGAAGGTTAATTATCTACAAATAAAACCAGTGTCATAACTGTAAAAACATCATAACCCAAACCACACCCACCCACAAAACTTCAAAGCACTTTCAGCTACTTAAAATAAGAACAGCACTTCAAAGTCCTGTTCTTTTCTTCTGTAGGTAAAGGGAAAGAAGTGCAGAGCAAAGGGACTGAACAATTTCTTTATGTAAGAATTGAAGAGCTCTTACCACATATATAAGAGTAATTTTTTTAAAACAGTATGACCTATAACCTAGTTGGGTTTTGGCAAAACTCCACATTCAATGCTCATGTTTTGATTCCAGACTGGCACAGGATATCATTGCTAGACAAGTGATACATTGCTTTACATTCTCCTGCCATCCTCAAAATCTCTACTACCAATAACACGTGCTGAGACAGCATGACTTAAGTTTGCCTTAAATCCCTCTAATACCAGTTACAGTAAGGGGACCTGAGGACCATGAATTTTTCACATGCAGGAGGAGCTCAAATTTGGCCCTATGCACGTGACAGAATTGCAATGCTGTACTTCTGTCAAAAGCAGTAGTAAGGATAAATGGGAAGCAGAAGCACAGATTAACACAGCTGCAACCAGTAGCATGAAACTTTGGTGAGCACAGAATCAGGTCCTGTACATACCTTTGGTCGAGCACAGCCTCCGAATAGGATGGCGGAGAGTCCAGGTCCACTGGCCTGTGGTAGGCCTGGTTGGACATATACTGGATCCCATTGTTGACGTTGTAGGTGACACTGCAGTGGTGCGGGTGATCGAGTACCACCAGCCGGGACAGCAGGACAGGGTGCTGCAGTCGATGCACTGGCAGAGTCATGAGATTGTTGCGTTTCCTTTGATGATGCAGGACTAAGGCAAGAAAGGCCACCACGAGTACGAAAATGACAGAGCTACCAATGATAGCATAGGTAATACTAGGGTAGTAAAGCAGCTGATTTTCTGAGGTCACGTAATCTTGGCCACTGCCTGCTTCTGCAAGACAAAAGGAAAATAAAGCCTGAGATTTGTTTCAATATAAAACTGCTCTTAACATATGCTGTGTTTTCCATTTATGCACTGTGTGACAAAAGCAAGTTTTCCTTTTTTCTTTAGATTGTGGCAAATTAGCCTATTAAAAGCATGTGCACACAAATCAGAGATTGGCCGATTATCACTCAGTCCATCCTCACCCTCAATAAGTGCCAGCAGACAAACTACTAGGGAGAGAAAAACTGAGAAAAATACACACTGTAGCAGGAAGCATGTGTACTATCATGGGATTCTCTCTCCCATCCCTACCTATCAGTCATAACTTTTTGTTTCCAGATGTGAGACACTCAGTTCTGAGGCATAAGCACAGTACCTCAGCTGTATCTGGCAAAGCACACTAGAATCAGAGATGTAAAAGGCCTAATCTTTACTTTCAATGATAACTTGCAGTGCAGTCAAAGTTTACATAGATTTTATCAAAAAAGGCAGCAGCTACATCCTGTGCTCCACAGATTTAACAGTCCAAAATAAGTACGGGAGAAAATACAGATAGCTGCTCAGTAGAGGGTGTTTATCTGGATGTTTGTGACCAGAAGACCTTCTGCTGGAAAAATTGAAAAGAAGAAAGTGTGTTCAAACAGCAAAAACAGCGATGTAAGCCTGGTAGATGTGATACCAGTAAGCGATATGAAAGTCTAAAAGCAAAGAGTGAAGTGAAAGAAGTAAACGGTAAAAGCAAAACAAAACAAATGCCCCAAACCAAACAAAAAACCCCAGGTTTGGATAGAACAAGATGAGGAAAAGAAAAACATGAACTGGGCTGATGCCATGAAAGATCACACAAGTGAGCTTCAATTTGAGATGGAAATGCTGAAGGGAATGGTTGGAAATGGTAAGTGAGTGGCAGGGAGCAGAAGCACGACCTCAAGTAGCAGTATTAAGGGGATGATGAGAAGGGATAAGAAGACCAGATCAGAAGAGGTACTTCAGATAGCATATAGTATATGTTTTATTTGCAAGAGGCACTGAGGAATCAGCAAAGTTACCGAGAATTGGTAATGGAGATGTTGGGCAGAGAGAGACCTAATCAAATTCAACAAAGGCAAGTGTGGGGTACTGCATCTGGGGAGGAATAACCCCATGCATCAATACAGGTTGGGAGCTGACCTCCTGGAAAGCAGCTCTGCAGAAAGGGACCTGGGAGTCCTGGTGGACAACAGGATGACCATGAGCCAGCAGCGTGCCCTGTTGGCCAAGAAGGCCAATGGCATCTTGGGGTGCATCAAGAAGAGTGTGGCCAGCAGGTCAAGGGAGGTCATCCTCCCCCTCTACTCTGCCCTGGTGAGGCCGCATGTGGAGTATTGTGTCCAGTTCTGGGCTCCCTGGTTCAAGAACGACAGGCAACTGCTGGACAGGATCCAGCAAAGGGCTACAAAGATGATTAGGGGATTGGAACATCTTTCTTACAAGGAAAGGCTGAGGGACTTGGGTCTTTTTAGTCTAGAGAAAAGAAAACTGAGGGGGGAATCTTATCAATGCTTATACTTAAAGGGAGGGTGCCAGGGGGATGGGAACAGTTGTTTTTCAGTGGTGCCCAGTGATAGGACAAGAGGTAACTGGCACAAACTTGAACATAGGAAGTTCCATCTAAACATGGGGAGGGACTTCTTTCCTTTGAGGGTGGCAGAGCACTGGAACAGGCTGCCCAGAGAGGTTGTGGAGTCTACCACTCTGGAGACATTCAAAACCCGCCTGGATGCCATCTTGTGCAACTTGCTGTAGGTGACCCTGCTCTGGCAGGGGGGTTGGACTAGAAGATTTCCATAGGTCCCTTCCAACCCTGACCCTTCTGTGATTCTGTAATTGTAAGAGAAGTTACAGTTGGATTTGTTCAGAGTCATGATACAGAACAAGGAATCCCCACCTGGGCTCTAGGCCCAGATAAGCAAAATGTTAATGGAATAATGACTTTGGACATCTGAAGGGATCTTGAATTGCATGCAAATCTTATGAGAAAACATAACAAAAGGCAACAAAATGCAAAGGAGGAAAGAGGCTCAGAGAAGCAAAATGGCATAAACACACCGATGCGACTCTGCTGCACTTGAGGCCAGGACCAGCACCACAGAACCATGTTTCTCCAAGTCCATTTCAGCCCCCTGTTCACAAGGTCAGGCAGCCTTTGAGTACAGTTATCTTTTTGGGGGGAGAATTTCTATTTCTGTGCAGGCTGTAACTCCTTATAGCCTCAAAAAGAAAAATACTATACTGATACAAGACATTCATTTACCTCAAGAAAAATGAGAGGCTGAGTAAAAACTAAACAAAACAAACCCAACCCCTTGACCTCCAAAATCCACACAATTACAAGAGGGCTATCCATCCAAATTCTTCATTTCCTACTGCAGGAGGCTGAGACAGTAAATCTTAACATACCATTTTCCTTTCTTTCACCTATCAACTAAAACTGCTTTTTAGTCACTCAGAATTGTAGCTGAGCCACTTACAAATTTCTCTAGCAACAACGTAATGAAATACATACGGACTGTGTCCAGCATAACAGAAGAGCTTTCCTCAAGTATCCACTGTTTGCATGAAGCTGCTTTGTGTATTTCTCTCAATACTTGATTTTCCTAGTTCACTTCCATGGTTAAACACCAAACCACGTTTTCCAGCATCATTAAAAATAACTTATTCATTAGTTAGGGAAGATTATACACCATAAAATGGCTAATCCTTTAAACATTTCCATTTTAAATCATGGATATTTTAGTAAGAAGGGATGAGATGGGAAAGAAAGACTGTACCAGAACTAAGAGAACACGATTACTGGTCCTGCTACTGACTAAGAAAACTACCACTCTTAAATAGATCTGTTTTACTGATGATGCCACTACAACCACAGATGAGAGCTTTGCAGGCCAGCTGCAAGGGACAGTTTTCTTGACACCTAGTGTCACACCTCAGTGAGGATCCTTACTAAATTTATTTCCCTGTGCAACTGTGCTGGAGAGAAAGCAGAAATCATTGTTGCCAGTCAACACTAGGTCTCCGGCTCACTCAGCAAAATGAACAAAGTCTGCATGAAGAATGTAAATCAAAGCAGAGGGGAGGAAAGGAATTTACATGCATTAGTAATTTTAATTACAGTTCATGACATATTGCCATGGCTTCTTTAATACAGTCCCTGAATTCACCAGCTGAGAAATGAATTCATGTTACGTATCACAGACAAGGGCCAGCGTAGGGAGTATAGTGACGAGCAGATCATTTTTATGCAAACATCAACAAGATTATTTGCAAGGAATGATCCATGGATGAATATCACTACCTGCAATTCTTCAGTGCAAGGAAGGTAAACATATTATGACATCCCAGGAAAATACCACAAGACTTTCATTCAACTTGGCTCACTGGTTACAGCACATTGGCATAAGACTGAGAACTGCATGCCTTTGCAGACCTGATGAGACCTAATTAGTTACCATGGGATCATTCTACAGCAGCAGAGTCCTTTCATAATTTCCACCTTATTAAAAGGGAAGAAAAATGAGATAAGTGAATTATACGTTCAACTTCTTTCCAAAATTTTTAAGGTTATACATCTGTTTAGGATAGCATCTTCTAGGTCCTGCACAAAAAGCCTCCGTAAATCCAAACAGATTAACCAGACCACTGAAAAAAAAAATATTTTGTCAGAAGACACATGGGATCTGATGACCAGCTTTAGGATAGCCTGAAACAAAACCTGGTTTATCTGGGTTTATGATCCTTTTCATACAACAACAATCCACATATCTTGCAGAGATTTTGGGTAAATTTGCAGTTAGCATGCTGGTTTGGAGCTTTGGGATTACTGTGGCTAAAGAAACATAATTTATTTACCAGTAACTTTCTATTCCTTCAGGTTGTTAGATTTGTTACTTGTATTACCACTGCATTGTTCACTGTATCTCTGAGAACAAGAGCAATCTAAGGGCATGCCTACACTGGGGACTACAGGTCTGCGTAGAGATCTCGGAACCAGAATAATAGCCATGAAGGTGCTGTTTTGAATACTGCAGTCTTTGAACCGTCCAACACAGCACTATCATTTTTGGGATCTGAATTAGCATCTCCATCAGTTCAACCAGTTCTAGCTTGTGTGTCTCTAACATGGAGCTGCACTGAGGATTACAGATATACCCTGTGAAGAGGAAAGAATCTAGTTTATCTGACAAGTGCTCTTATACCCTGGGCAGTGCCGAGTACTTTGCATGGAGACACTCTCCCCACGGAAAAATACTAGCTCCCTAAACATGCACAGTCTTTATACGTTTACAGGAACAGACACAGAACGCGCCATATCTCTGAGACAGAGTTCTACCTAGGAAGATTCAGCTGTCATTGAAGCACAGCCTTCTTCCACCACCAGAGTAACCTTATTCTTGCCTTATAGGTAGGTTTTCTGGGCCAAAAAAACACAATCTTAAGGTCCCTTAGCAAAACACACTCATAAGTGAAATCCAGAGGCATTTAGCTTCTGCTATGTAGTTTAAACCAAGAAAGACCAACCTGGATACAACCTCCCTTTTCTAGCAAAGTCAGTAAATCCAAACCTGCAAAAGATGAAAGTAACGTAAGTTACCTGAGGCGATCAGCACTGCTTGGCTTGTAGCCCTATAGAGGGCACTTCCCATTCAAGCAAAAGAAACGATCTGCCCTTAGTGGTCTTCTAAAACAATGCTCTGGCAAGAAAACTGCTCTATAGCACAACTATAACAAAAGTAGCAGAAATATGAGACAGTTTTGCATACAAGAGACTTTTACATCAAGTTTTTTCTTTGACTTAGTATATATCTGATCATGTTGAAATGAGTAACTTTTTGGTAATTCCTTGGTAATGTTCTGTTTTTTTGTAGAGCCAGGTAAGTGTACAGAGGTGTGGAAGGGAATGACGGATTATCTAGCTGAGACTGCCCAGTGAACCACTATCCATTTTGTGCACATTGTAATAGGGAGAA